TTTTTTTTTCAAAGATTTTTGAAATGATACAATATATATATACATAAAGATTGAGAATAATAAAACGACAATCATCGTTTGATTTCTTCATAGTTGAGTCTATTTTTAAATTGAAAAGAAAATTTAGAATACGAGATTATCTTCAATCAGTACTTTTATTAAGAATATATAACACACGTGATCAGAATAATGAAAAAACGTTCAATGAAATTCTCTTATGATTAAAAAAAAACAAACATTAATTAAAATTTAATAATAGCAAAAAAAAGCAACCAAAATGATAAATATCACAAATGCATACAAAAATCTAAACATATACACTTAAGTATCTTCTACAATGCTTGTTTCTGTATATTCTGGTAATAATCTAGTTGTACTGAAAACATCAGCACTTTCATTAATTGTTATAGTATATGCATCTTCATTATCTTCTTGTCGATCAATTAATAATTGTACATTTTCTGATTGTCTATGAGGTGTAGTTATATATTGTCCACCAATACTAGACATTGATGATAAAGATGTTGATGATAAATGTTTTATTTTTCTATCAATTGGATATCGTTGAATAATAGTTGTATCATCATCATCATCATCAACTGATAATGACTGTTTTCGTTGTTGTTCTAATTCAAGTTGATGAAGTACATGACGAATATCATGAGCAAGTTGTGTGAATGATGGACGTTGAGATGGATCAGCATTCCAACAGACAATCATTACTGATTTATATAATAATTGAGGACAATATGTAGGTTGTTGAAGACGATAACCATGTTTTATATAAGTATATATATCAGCATTATCAATACCTGAATATGGTGTTCTACCGCGACTCATTAATTCCCAAAGAAGAACACCAAAAGACCACTAAAATATAAATAAAACAAAAGATGTTAGAGCAATCCTTGCAGGATTAAAATATGAAACATGATGTAGCTACTGTCGCTAATCATAGCGATATTGTTTTATTCTATATATTTTGACACACATTTCTTCATCATCCTTTTACTTTATCCTCCGGAAGTGTAATACAGAAGTAACCTGCGATCATATATCAACGCTTGTCACGATCTGTGACGCAGAAGAGGGATGTTCCTAACGAGAGAAGGCTCCTAAGTAAATAATCTAGAGTGATTCAAGCTGCTAGGTTGCTGAAATATCGAATTTTTAGTGAATTTTCCTGTAGGACTCTAGTTGTCAAGCAAAATTATGCTCTTGAATTTTGACCTGAAACTTTGCCCATACATAAAGGTACCAACTAGACTAGCTTGTAGAAAAACTGTTAACATTTTTTCATTAAATCTCTTCCAGATATGAATCTTTCGAAATATTCGCGTTTTCTACAGTGATCATGGCAAAGCGCATCTATTTTAAAGAACTCTTAGCTCAGAAATTTTGTGAAAAAATTCTGACATTTTTTCTACAAACTAGTCTAATTGATGTCTTTATGGGAGTGAAATTTCAGGTCAAAATTCAAAAGTATAATTTTGCTTGAAAACTTAGGCACTGTGGAGAAAATTCACTAAACATACAAACACCCAATAGCGCGAAAACAATTTATCACATGGGAACCTTTTCTCGTAGAATGTCTGTCACGGTCTGTAGGAAGAGGAGGGGAGCATAATGTTTATCGAGGCGAAAAAAACGAAAGTAAACTTTTCATCAATTCAAATGGTAGTCAATATACTCCAACACATGTTCTATCTGCTGATATAAAAATTTTTGTTACGAATGCTAAGTAGAGTGAAAAGTCTGCCAATAAAAACTTAGCTTGAAATCACGCTTGTCATTAAAAAAACTATGTTTTTACGTAAGACTCAACCAATGAGTAGGCTAACACAGCACATATTTGGAGTTGGTTCAGTATCTTCGTAAAAAAATACTTAAATCTGAGCTACCAAATGTTTTTGTAGCGATTTTTCGAATGACTGAGCTAATTAGAATAAGCACAACATCTTAAGCCATGATTTAGATTCGCTCAAACTTTGTCAAAGTATTCATCTATCTGAGTTCTATCAACACAAACGTTTCTGGACTTAGATGTGGGATTTTTCAAAAAATCATAGTTTTCCAGATAATTCCGGTTCAAGAAGATTTTCATTGCACAACAATGACATATTCGAAATGGCACAAGATATTTTCTAACCAAAAAATTTCCTCGAAAAAATATAGACAAGCATTTTCCTCAGGTGTTTTTCGCCAAAAACTTCTCTTTTTTAAAAAAATGCTTTATTTTCTTAAAAGTGATATTTTTAATGATATGCAATCACTTTGGAGTAAAAGAAAGCTACTTTTCGATCTAAATTTTACTTCAACACTTCTTTTCGTTCGTATTTTACAAAATAACTTTTAATAAAAGTTTTGATAGAAATTAAACAAACCACATCAGATTGAATTGTATATTTTGATGATTCAATAGATTCTGGACTTAACCATCGAATTGGTAAACGTCTTGGTGTTATTTGTAAAGTTTTTCCATTATTGTCTTTTGTTGTTGTTGGTACAATATAATAATCTCGATCAATTACATCTCGACTAAGACCAAAATCTGATATTCGACATATTAATTGTTCATCTAACATACAATTTCTTGTAGCTAAATCTCGATGAACAAATTTTAATGAAGCAAGATATTCCATTCCATCAGCTATTTGAATAGTCCATGTTATTAATTGTCTTATAGTTGGACGATTTTTTTCATTTATTAAATAACTTCGTAGATCACCATTTTTCATATAAGGTAAAAGTACCATTGCTTTATGTGTTGGATCCCATGAAATACCAATCAATGAAAGTATATTTGGATGAGAAAAATCTTTCATACGATTTGCTTCAAATAAAAATTCACGCATTGATGAAATATTATGATCACGTAAAACTTTAATAGCAACTTCAATGGATTTATTTCTATATTGTTTTAATTCACCTCGATAAACATCACCAAAACAACCTTGACCAATTTTTTCATAAATATTAAGATTTTTTCGATTAATTTGTCTAGTTTTACCAAGTTCACACCATATTGTTTGAAAATGTTGTGGTGGTTTTATTTCTTTTTGAAATTGTTCAGATGCTTGATAAAAACGACGACGTGTTAAAATTACTAATGTAAATAAAATAATTAAAATTGTTATTGAAAAAATAATTAATAGAATTAAAATTGTCCATGAACCAAATTGAAGTGATATATATGGAATAACTGATGTTGATGATCGATTTTGAAATAAAATTTTTCCAATTGAAAATATTAAATTAGTTCCGACATGAATCTACAAAAAAGAAGTAGAAAATTTGTATATACCTGCGGACGATGTGTATCACTCGCGCAGATAGTTCGTACTCAAACAGTAAGTATGACTCATCGCACTCGTCTCTCGTCTTATATGTCCACTGAGCAGCTGCGCCTTCATTGTACCAGCTGTTAAACGTCATTGGTAGGGTTATTTTGACAAAGAAGAGACATATAAAGTAATGTTGAATAAAAATTATTCTGGAAGTAACTCGGTCTAACTTAAATCTAAGTAAAAACTCATTGTGATGAACAGAATATTTTTCAAGGTTATTTACAAAATAGGTAAAAATTGAAAAGAACATCCTATGTCTGCTTCTATCTTGCCTAATTAAATATTCTTCTGTAGTGTCTTCAACTTTATATTGTTGTTTATATGCGAGTGCTCAAAACTAAAACATTACTTCTGAAGAAACAGAATATTATCACAAATGCGAGCAAAAAAATTTCTCTAGTTACCGTTAACCGTAGTTGCCGGGTGACCATCTTGAGTGCTAGAGAATAATAGAAAAGTCTAGAATGGTTTGGTTGTCTGAGCTTTTATTCTTGAGATATCGAAGTTTTACTGGGTTTTTCAAGAAAAAACTGAGATCCGTCTCAGGTTACGTGAAAAATTGATTTTCGAGTTTCAACTTCAAATTTTGCATGAACAAAGTTCTTAATAAGATTAGGTCATTAGCCAAGTTTTAGCTTTTCTAATATTTTTTGTCAGAAGACGGATAAAATTTGCTTTTATAAATGGAAGAATTTCAAATATTGAATATCTCAAAATAGGACATTGAGAACTTTGTTCATGCAAAGTTTGAAGTCAAAACTGGAAAGTCGATTTTTCTCATGGCCTCAGGGAGGATACAGCTTTTCATTGAAAACCCCAGTAAAATTTCGATATCTCAAGAATGAAGGCTCGAAAAACCAAATCATTCTAGCCTCTTCTATTACTCATCAAATGAATATCGTCCCACTGTTTCGGATTCAGGTTCATAAAAACGTGAAGCCGCAGCTTCCTAGTTATCGCTCAGAGCACCAGAAATAATTGCCCACTATTCAGAATAAGGAATTGCTCATAGTTGAGAGACTCATTCCTAGAAAAACTCGCTTGGACAGACTATAGACCGGCCAGTATAAGAACATATTTGTATGGAAAAAATGTTACTGTACTTGCAATTTGTCTTAGTTACTTCGTAGTAATCGAAAAAAAATCAATAAATATCTTATCTGAGGATTAATAATAGACTTTATTAGTACATACTTCAACATTTGCTTGAGAATTTTTAATATTTTTAATAGTAAATTTAGATAATAAACATAAAAGTTGAGTATCTGTAAAATTAAATGGAATACAAGCATTACTAATATTATCTATTCGTATATCGATTTGATCAATTGAATGTGTTGCTATAAGATTTGAACCCTATTCAAAAAACAAAATGCAACAAACATTAAAATCATAAAGAAAATAAATTCTTTGTTTGTTTGTTTTTAAATACCTCAAATCGAATAATATTTGTCGAATTAATTTCTTGTATAGAATTTACAAATGAATAATAAATTGGATCATTAACAATAATTAAAATATCATCATTCGGTATTATTTTCATATTATCCATAATAAATAATATATTAAGATCAAATGATGGCATTAAATTAAGATTTCTATCAATTATTGGTGATATACAAATCATTTCTGAAGTTGAAATAGATTCACATGACTGTAAAGAAATGAAATTAATTAATATATTTGATTTTAATTTTCTAATTAACTTACTGATATAAATTCCAAAATTGATGTATTATATATAAATTTCATCATAGGTTTTTGTACAACATTAAGATTTTGACCAGATACAATCAATTTTATTCCTCCACTAAAAATAATTTCATTTTATCATTGTTTTTTTTTCAAATCTTATAGATGCGCAAGAATAAACGTTTCTCTAAATATTTTCTCAATATCATCGTCAAGGCCGATTACTATGCCTTAATCTTTTTTAATAAAAAAAAAATATCCATGATTCAATCTTCCACAAAAACGTATCACAAGTTTTACTACAAAATATTAACAAGAAATATTCTAACATGTTCAATTTTCAAAAGTTATTTATTTTTAGAACAATTCAGCACTTTTTTTCTAGCTTTCTACATACATAACAACATGATGAAATACGTTTAGAAGTATAACTAAGTGCATTCTTTCTCATGATATACACTGAAGTTCATTTTAACCAAGTTTTTTTTTTTATGCAGACATAGAACTGACCTACCTTATTGGGGTCTACATTCTGCCCAGAGTTCGAACTTAAAAGCAATTTTCAAGTTGGAAAGGTTCTCTCGTCGGGAGGGACATTGATTCTGATGCATCCGTTACACCAATACCTTATAATCGATTTTTTTGGATACCAATTCAATATAATTGGATTAGCTCGACATTGAAAATATATTTTTTCTAATTGCCATGAATGATTATTAACTTGAATATTTAATTCTAATTGTTCTCTATCATGCATACAAGCTTGATTAATACATTCAATTTCATTGATAGGATAATCATATTTCGAAATATGACATTCTGCATTGCCTAAAAAGATTTTTATAGTTGAATTTAAATTTAAATTTAAATTTTGAATTCGAATTTTAGTTCCACCAACAGCTGGACCATAATTTGGTATTAGAATTGGTTTTGGTATCTAATAACAAAAACAAAAATTTCAGTTTTTCATTAAAATCAATATACTTACATAAACATGAAATTTGTCTGGATATTCAATTAAACCAGATATATCAGTATCACCAATAGATAAAATCCTTTTAGGTCTAATATTAACTGAAATAATTCCTTCAACTGCTTGTTTTGGAATAATTAAATTACAAGTTAAACTAAAAAAGAATGAAATAACTTGAAATTTAATTATTATTTTAAAATACTTACTTGTTATTTTCTATCGTTTGAATTGTACAGAAAAATTCATTTTGATTTGGTAAAGAAAATTGTACTAAAACTTTTATCAAATGTGCTTGAATTCCTTCGAATGAACCTGTTATAGTCAATGTAATTTGTTCTTGATTTATATTTGCATTCATTGGTTGAATCTATTCAAAAACAAAAAAACAAAAATTCAATATTACATAGAGAAAAAAAAACGAACTTGATCAATTGATGGTGGACATCCCCAATCATTTATTAATGAATTTGATGATAACGAACATTTACCATCAAACCAAATACATGGTTTATCATCATAACGTCGACTACCAACACATGATTGACATGTATCATATAGAGAACATGAATTATAAGCATAACGATGAAGCTAAAAATTTGAAATTATTTATAAAGTTTTAACAAAAAAAAAAAAAAGCACTAGAATAAAATACCTCAGTATCAATAGCAAATATAAGTGATTCATGTTCATTATCAACAACATATTGACTATTAAATGGTTCATTATGATAGATTGATTCATGAAGAAAATAAAGTATAGTTTGATTATGACGAATGAACTAAAAATTCGAAACTTTTTAAAATTATTATCTAATCTAAAAATCAGATAATCTTCCTCGATTATTATCCTAACTAATCTATTATCAATATTAAATCAAAAACAAAAATTGAGTAAACTAATAAAACAAAGTTTTCAATAAACTACCTCAGAAAATTTAACATCGGAAGTATATATATTGAATATGTTTTGATTATCAATGAAAAAATCTTTACAATTTTCATGTAAAATAAATACAAACTATCATAGATACCTTAAGCACATGTCGTTGACTTGTACCAATAATTACAATATTATCTTGTGCAAAAATGAATCTAATCGTTACATTTGTTTCCATAGTTTGATAAAATTTTTCTCCTATAGCACCTACAATTCCATCCATATATGTATTTGTTCGATAGGGTTGCCATGTACATTCATTTATTTCCGTCAAATTTTGTTCAATTGTCTAATAAAAATAAAAAGAACAAAAATTATTTTCGTCAACTTCTGCTTGAAAAATATGCTTTTCTGATCGCGCATCTAAAAATTCTAGAAGAAACTTCATTATAGCTAATTAGTTCTTTTTCTTTGTTTGAAAGAGTATGTGAAGCAATAGTACACGTTTTTTCAATGAAACTTTTCTGTTATTACATAAAAAAAGTACTTCTATAAATGATCATTTTTTGTGGAATTTTTCAAGTATTGAATTTACCATCCTTTTTTTCCTTGCATAAAAATTAAGAATTAAAAAAAGACAAAGACTCTAGTCGTCTAAGAAATATATACGATGCGCTAGTCACAGAATACAAAAAGCCGAAAAACATATGTCGTATCTTTGGGACAACTATCTAATTTTGATTAGAAAATTTCATTGAGAGTATCAGAGTACGGTTGGACCGAGCCCGGATCCGAAAATTTAAAACCCGATAGGCTTTTGGGGCCTACAGAGAATTTTGAATTGCCAAATGAACTACTTTTGATTCTTGTTTATTGAACATCTTCCGAAAGGATGATGGTACAGACTTGAAAATTTCATACGATTTGAATGCATCTACGCAAAAATCGATTTTTGATGGGAGGAAGGGGAGGGAGGAAGGGCTTAATATTCAAATTAATTACTTTTTCACACATTGGTCTTGTTTCATCACTATCGATAATATAAGCAAGACGATAACCAATGCCCATTTGACACTGAATTTTTGATGCTTGAAATGCACGTATAATTTCATTCATTGTATAAATACAAATTGTATTCTCATAAATAATATATAAATAATCAAAGTTTTCAAATGAATGAAAAGCTCCTGTAATAAATGATGAATTATGTTGACAATTAACTAATGGAATTTCTTCATATGTCATACGCATTACAATTGATGCTTGACATAATCGAGCTAAACGAGATGATTTAAGTATATAATATGTATATTGTTGATAATCAAAACCATAAATATATTCAATATTTGATAATTTTTCATTTAAAAATGTTAATGATGTTATTAATGTATGATCACTTGATTGAAATTGATAATTAATATTATAATGAAATAAATCTTTTCGTAATTCGATCTGTGAATTAATTATATTTCCATTTCTATCATGACGATTTCCTATTAAAGCTGAACGAATTATTGTTGATGATAAAAATGTATAACAACCAGATAAACAACCAAGATAATTTGTTTCAATTGTTGAATCAAGAATATAAATTCTACTTATATCATTTGCATCATATAAAATACAACGACCAATTAATGAACGTGAACATATAATTAATAAATTTTGTGATTGTTCATAGAGAAAAACACTAACACCATTTTCTGTATTATCAAGTGATGAATGAAGTTGTACACGTCGATGTAATAATAATAATGTTTCATTTATTGTTGACCAATGTAATTGATGTAAATGTGATGAAGATATTGCATATAATGTTGAAGTATTTGTTACATAAAGTAAATTATCAATTGATGAATCAAATGTATAACTTTTTATTATTATTAATTTAATTATAAATATAAATAATGAAAAAATTGTATTTGATTTCATGACTAAAAGAAATATATATATATATAGAAATGAATATAAGACTACAAACGTTAAGTATCAATTGTATGTACAATAAAAGAATCGTATGGGAATTTTTTAATATAAAAGAAAAGAATGAATAGTTTGCTTTGATTTGTACTTGGTTGAATTCTATTCAAATTCGAAATAACCATTGTTTGATTAATGTGAACAAAAGAAAGAAGAACATTGGATATTGTTAAAATTTTTATTTTTTTTCTGTTATAGATCAACTTACTTTCGACACTTTCTGTTTATAAAAAAAACTACTATTACACTTCCTTTTTTTTTCAATAGGATGTTATTGGGCTATAAAATATCATATTTTGCAAGGCGAAAACAAATACTCATTTTATTACTATTCGAAAAGACGAATGAAGGAGAATGTTTCTGTTCTGTTCGTTGTTCGAAGAAAAAAAAAGAATCGAGTACTTGTATTTGTTTCTTCCAGTTGGGAAGTATCCCAGCGAATATTATATACGTCCTGAATAATTTTTTTCTATCATCATTGATTTCGAATTTGTCACTTTAGAATTGTTCTTTAACTGATTTCAGTTAATATTCAATTATTTTATTAATATAAATTAGATATTCGTGCACTCTATTTGTCGAATGAATGTACAAATTAATGATATCTATATTATATTTAGTCAACAGATGTACTAATTCGAAACGATTTAATTAATTTGATCATTATACACTTCCTTATATTGAGTAGTACTAGATGTGACGTTTATATTATATCAACTTATGTTGATAATGATTCAGGTTGTTTTAAACATCATTGATTTAATTCTTGAATTTCATCGTAAAAGAACATGTAGATAGTATTTTTACTGAACTAAAACTTGTAGTCAAGCATTGAAAATATATAAAAAAAAGAAACTATTAAAAATCAGAGTTTTTCTTGTATACTTTTGCTCATATTTCTTTTAATCAAGTAAATATCAGATAATCCATTAAATAATGAAATATTTTATTAATTTTTATTCAAAAATTACTCAAGGACGAAAATGTTGTGTAGAAGAATAAATTCAGTATTGTTTCTCATATGACCAATTAGGAAAGATGTCAGTTCAAGGGCATCCTCCTCAGCTGTTTCTCATGTTCGATAACAATGAAACGAAATATATTTGACATATGTCTGCTAATACAGAATTATTAAGTAAAAAAAGAACAAAAATAAAAATTTTACCTTGTTTTTATTGAATCAGTACTTCATCGGTCATTTAGCACTAGTCTTTCTCCTTCTGTTTCTTTCTCATTCGTCTGTATGTGTACATTTTATAATTGTTTCGGTCATTGTCCGAAAGAAAGATTAACATGCAACGAATATGCACAGCCTACAATGATATACGCGGTCAACTTGTTATCGTTGTTCGTTTGAGTTCATTCAAAAAGAAAGAAAAAAAGAAAAGTTAAAATCCTTGTATCATATTGAATACATGGAGAAGAATAAATGAGTATTTAGTTGTTGTATATGTAACCTTCCAATAAATAATAGTGTGATTAACAAAAAAACAACTAATTTAAGGCTGGTAATTGTTCGATAGAAAAAAAAAAATAACGATCAGATTTGTTGTTAATAGGTCATATATAATTGAATGTTTTGTAATGAATCAAATTCATGAGTATAGAAGAAATGTTAGTAATTATACGTTATTTAGACTAGATGAACAGAACACATGTGTTAAACAAATTTGTATTTAGTTGATCGCTAGAATATTAATTATCATTTTACATCGAAATAATAGTAAATTTTCTTACTAATGACTATTCGTATATCTATCAAAAAAATTTGATAAATACAACTTAAAGCAATTAATGGGAGATTTATAGTCTCTGAATTATTGTTATCAACTCATTTTAATTTCATTTA